CAGGGTCGTGGCTGGCAGGTGGCAGGCAGGTGTGGCCCGTCCTGCCAGCACCGGACCCTGTACGTGTGGGTGTCAAGACCGTCCCAGGCACCCTGAGGGCCCAGCACCCACACGCACACAGACATCTGTTGATTGGAATTCTCCCCACTATCTTCACCTGGGTCAGGTCTTCACTCCAGGCGGCCCGTGTTCGATTTTAATGTACTCAAGTTTTGCAAGAGCAACGGGTGAAAGATACGGGCACCTTTTTTTTTTTTTTTTTTAATAGAAAATGTGTGGTTATAAATGACTGAGCATTTCTGGTACACCCTGTACAATGCACGGATGATTCCAAAAAGCTTTCCTCAAATGTTCTGAGAAACTTGGATTTTAATATGGCATTTTTTTCTATTCAGGAAATACCTAAATTTTTACTTGTTAAAGTAAAAACATTTCCATATGAAGCTTGTTGCCTATCTCAAGTAAATCTTTCACTTTCCTAGAGATATTTAAAAATTCTCAACCTAGAAAGAATGCAAGTGGCAGGCAACACAAAGGACGACCCACAAGCACACAACTCTGAGATCCCGTGAAATATGTACGACGGACCGGGTGCCAACGCCCACTAGTTCCGGGCTTTCCTGTCTCTGGGTCTATTTCATTTTCTGTAAAACAAGGGTTTTGAACTAGACCAGGGGTTCCCAGAATTCAGGAGGCTGATCTGCACTGTTGCCATATTATTTTTTCCGGGGGGTGGAGGGTGGCACACGGTATTGCCAACTGTTTTCAAGTAGGGAATTACTAAGAAACTGCTATTTATGTTTGCCATTAAAAATTGTTTTTTAATTTTAAAATTAATTAATTTTATTTATTTTTGGCTGCGTTGGTCTTCGTTACTGCGCATGCGCTTTCTCTAGTTGCAGCGAGCGGGGGCTGCTCTTTGTTGCGGTGCGCGGGCTTCTCATAGCTGTGCCTTCTCTTGTTGCAGAGCACGGGCTCTAGGTGCGCGGACTTCAGTAGTCGTGGCTCGCGGGCTCTAGGGCGCAGGCTCAGTAGCCGTGGCGCACGGGCTTAGTTGCTCCGCGGCATGTGGGATCTTCCCGGACCAGGGGTCGAACCCGTGTCCCGTGTTGGCAGGCGGATTCCTTACCACTGCGCCAGCAGGGAAGTCCTGTGTTTGTCATTTCCTAAAGGTTTAATGCCAAGAGTGGAGGAAAAGCATGTCAGTTAAAGGATAGATAGTGCTTTAATGCAAGGGAACCGGCTCGTTGCCCTTTCATCTTGAGTACAGGGGAGCCCTTTATCATGCCCAGCACTGGTGTGTGCAGACTGGCAGCGGGAACCCGTGCACAGCCATCAGAGATCCGACACGGTCCCAGCATCACCTTAGGTGGGAAAGATATGGGGTCTCAAATCACGTCGGCACGAGCAAGGGGCCAGGAATTGGGAGGCGTGGCTTTTACGCTCACTGAGCCTCCAGGCTCTCTTTTACGCTCTCCTCACCCATGAAGCAACTTGCTATGGGGTGAAGTCATGCCAGTCTCCAGGCTGGAGAAGAAAGCTCGTGAGGGACGTAGATGTAAGTTACGGTTACTGGATTGCTCCTTGGTTTGGGCAGTGGGCCTGTTCATCGTGTTATGAACGAGTAAGTGAAGTCAGGAAGTCTCTTTTGCCAGAGATTCCCACCCTGGAGACTTTGCCTGGGCCCTTACCTTGCCAGACTGATAACCGAGACGACTGGTTACCTAGACACCTCCCCTTCCTAGACACCCTAGCTTCAAGGGCGACTTCTGCACTTCTGTCCTGGGGTGGAGGGAGTCACAGGGACCGTTTGGCAGATAAAGGAACTGAGGGCCTTGGGTCACAGCCCACCTGCTGGGAGGCCCAGGTCATTGCAGTGACGGGACGGAGCAACTTGATCCTGGGCCTGCCCCCAGCGACCTTTCGGTAACAGCACCCGGTGAGGACAGCAAGGCCCCCAGTAAGAAGTGGGTGGATCAGCTAGGATCCCAAACACATATTCTTAGGCACACGACTCTGTTCTCAAGACTTCAGTGTCTCTTCAAGAATAATTTTAAACACCATGGTTAGGGCTCAAATAATTCCATTTCTATAAACTGTGTTCTGATGCACATTTGCCTACTCGCAAAACAAGAGGTGGTCGTTAAAAGGTCATCTCTACTTTTTCCCATTAGAAAAGTAGAAAAATGACCTTACAGAAGGCTCTGCAAAGACGTGGCTGTGATGGACGGCGGCGTGGGCGCCCAGCCAGTGTTGAGCGAGGGACTCCAGCCGGGATCCCTGGCGGGGCTGCCCTGCCCCTAACTGTCGCCGGACAGAGATCGGAACCGGCTTGCCCAACACCATGGCTAAATTTAGCGTCATGATGAGCAGTAAAATTCACATGTTCTTTATTTAGTCCATATAATACACCATTTTTAGAGTTTTTTTTTTTAAATTAGATAAAAGAGCATATTAAATGGCAAGTGTATGAAGTTTCTCTTCATAAACAATATGTCAAAACAGAGAGTTTTGAATTACAAAATGTTAAAAAATATGTAGGTACTTAACATTTCACTAAAGCATAAAGTTACAGATATTTTCTAAAGAAAAATAATTGTGCCACTTACCTATTTTTGCTGTTTCTATGAACTTTTTTTATTCTGTACATAGGACATTTTGTACAAAATATGAAGTCTACATTTTTATTACTCATTACCATAAAACAAAGGTACAACGTATGTACAATATTAAAAGGAAGCCATACTAAAGCTGCACTAAAAAGACACTCGGAATAGTGACATTTCTGATGTACAGATACATTTCAGAAAGAGTGAAGATGCCAAACGCAGAACTTTATGAAGAAAAACAGTCACCAGTTTATTTTCAATGTAGTACTTTTGAAATCAGCTTGGTACAGAATAAACAGTGTATCTATGTAATAATATGTCAGTTGAACAATTAGCACAGGGAATCTGAGTACTAACTAGGAAAACTTTCATAGGCCAAAATATTAAATGATACTCTTGTCAAAGAAAATTAGTTTCTCTCAAAACTTTTTTTTTTTTTCTCCCTTTTTGGTGAATGTTTGTCTTCAATAAAGAGCAGAAGTAAAACCTGGACAAAAAGATGTTCTTATACGTTGAGCTTTCCACATCACCCAAACACTGATATTTTGCTTTTTCCCTAGGGCAAGAGGAGAGGCTTCCCAGAAACCTCTGTCGCAAACATAACTGAGAACATCCAAATCAAGTATATCTGAGAATCTATCAGCTAAAGACGGAAGTTCAAACAATGGTTTATCAAAATACATAAGACGCTGCTTTATACAATAAAAAGCACCCTTTTTCCCTCAAAAGGAGAAGGCATCTAAACTTTTTTTAAATGATAAATTTCATCATGGTGAAGCGGATGGATACCTCCTGCTCACACAGAGGGCTTCTCCCCTTTCAGCTGGGGCAGCGTCTAACTTAGCACTTGCTTTGAACACCAGAAATCCCCTCCCTCCAAATGATTTTCCTACCGGAAACAAGGAAATAGACATCATCAAAGGATTTAAGTGAAACCAACGGGCAGCAGGTACCACAGCCGCACAGGGAACCACGTCTGCTTCTCACAACGTCTGAGTGGATTCCCAAGACCTCAGCTGAAAAACAGATCCTGAAAGAAGCCACGTTTTACCTTTGATGCATCAAGACATTTAACATCAAGTTATAGAATCTTATGCCAGAGACAGAAGAAACTAGAATCACTGGTTTAGAGCAGCGGTACGCATCTCAAATAGCTTTCAGGCAGGATAAGTAAGTCAAAATACTGGCCACCCGGAGAGAAATAAAGAACAAAGCATTAAGCTGAGAGATTTTTCTCCTCGTGCTGTTCCATCAAAAACAAAAAGCTGAATACATGCAAGGAAGTCTGAAATATTTAGCAGCATTGAAGACCGATGAAAACTCAAGACGCTGTATCTTCCTTATGAGGCATCTATTACGTGCGCTCTTTTCAACCGAAAGAGACTCCTTGGAAGCCATCGCTGCTGCTGCCTCCACGAAGCCCTCAGGGCCACACTGCGGGGAGGGGGGTGCCTGCCCACGGCGCTGTTTCTGCTACTTTTGCCCAAAGGCAGCGGTGGCCTGCATCAGGCCGAGAGCTGGCCTCACTCAAAATGATCTCGTCCTAATTTTCTACAAAATGTGGAATTCTCAGAGAATATAATTTTATTAATTGAAGAGCCTTGTTCAAGGGCAACAACGTGTAAGTAGAGAGAAATCATTCTGCAAAGAGTAAAACACGAACACATCACTTTAAAATTCCAATTCCAGTCAAGAGAAATCTTTTTAGAACAAATTTCTCCTACGTGCTCACTCCCGGATCCTGGTCCTGGACCGCAGACTTGGAAATATGGCTTTAGCGATACACAGAAGCAGCAGGACGTGGTACGCATGGTATTGGTCAAAGTAAAGCAGTACCTTAGGAAAAGACAGCGGCCGGGGACTGTCGTGTCACTTTCCCAGTTGAGCGGTGTTGGAACGATGACAGCAAAGAACCACTTCAATGAGATTAAAAAACAAAAACAAACCAAAAAACCCCAGAAAGAAACTGCTGGCATTAACAATCACGTGGAAACAATCTCAAGGGTTGTAAAGTCTTAAAAAATAGGTAATACTTTTTTAAAGTGCTCCTTTGATTTGAAAAACATTGATATTATCATTGGACCACCTATCTTAAATGATCGCAAATTCCATTTGGGGAGAACGTGAAGATGATGACTAGGGTGCTTTCCTTAGCTCTGATTTTGGAAAACCGGCTTACTTGGGACCGTGCAAGGGACACCATGGGCGGCATGTGGCCCTGGGTGGTCACCATTGTTTGAACTCCTAGTCTCGAGCTGAGGCGGAAGGATGTTATTGCCTACAGAACGGGGTTGGTGAAAGCCTTGACTTGAGGGTAACTGACTTGTATGGCACACAGAGCGTGTACTTCCTACAGACCGGAGCAGGGCTGGCGCCCGCACGGCGTCACAACTAGCGCCCGTCCTGGGGGACCAGCTCGTCAGCACGGCCGTGGGCCTCCAGGGCGCTCTTGGTGTGCAGGTCCTGGGGCAGCTCGGACTTGCGGCGCACCAGGGTCCGGTCTTTCTTCAGGTCCTTCTGTGCCTAGAATAAAAAAGCACGGCGTTGGCTACAGACCCAGCGACCCGGAAGTGTGCTCGCTCTGCACTGAGCCAGCAGTGCCCACGCTCAGCGCCTCCCTGGGGATTTGGAGCACACAAAGGGCAGGATGTCTCTTATTACCCTCATTAACCAAGAACGCCTCATTTATTAAAAGTAACCCACGGGCGGCGTGCATAATATTGGCATTGTGGTCTTCTAAAATGCGTAGTTTTGTACAGAGCATCGAGTACCGCTATTTTGCAAATTCACCAGTTTTAGTAAACCCCGTAAATGGTAAAATCTTCCTATTTCACAAAATGTTACCGAAGTCAATTTATGGCTATGTCCCTTCCAGAAGCATTTCAGGAAGTTGAAATTTCCCTTGGAGGTAAATAAAAAGAAAGAACGCATAACATATTTAAACTGGACTCGAAGCCAATAAATAACAGGTCTAAAACTTCTATCAAATTTGAAAAAAGATACTTAAAATGAGAGGTATTAAATGGGTCATGTAGGGGGAAAACCCCTCTAGAATTCACAAAAACTGTATTTAATTATTTGTATAAAATTTCCTAATAAGGGTAAGATATAAGACTCCCATCTCCATTCCATTTTTTCCCTAAAGTTAGGACATTTTGGTTTTACTCAACAAAACAAAACGAAAACAAACACCCCAAAACAGAAAAACCCTACATGAATCCCTTTTTGCATGGGGATTTAGAGATCTGTGTCTGCAAAGAAAGGGCAGGGCTGATATGGGGCGTTTATACACCCAAAGTGTCCATTTCCACGCAGAATAGTTAAACAAGCTATTTGGTTTTGGAGCAGGGCCATTGCATCAATAGCAGTATCTTTGAAACAAAACAACAAGCCACCTAAATCACCTAGACACAATGTATGTACCAGGAAGCTGCCAGTGCATGAGGAACTTTAACCAGAACCACGTCTTCCTTTCCGTTTAGTGTCTCCAGCAAAGGGGAGATTATATTTAAAGAGAAGTTATGTTTGTGGTGGTGGTCAAACACCTACCAGAAGAAAACCTGTATTAAGTCAATCACTTGACAACAGAAAGAACGTATCCCTAACCACTCCTCACAGCACCCAGCTTGCCAACATCGGTGGTACGACATGCAAAGTGTAATTCTCTTTGCGTTAATGAAATAGCCAAGGCCTTGCAGACGCCATACATGAAAAGTGCACACTTTTGCAGAGCTAATGTTTCTTAGGGTTCTTTGCAAATTTATCTCTGACAACCTCAATAATATCAAGGTTTGTAAGGAATTTCCCACGCCATCATTTTAGGATTATTTCTAGAACTGTTATTTGAATATTAACGTTCATTTATGGCAAAGGCAGGAATTCTGGATTTTTTTCTCCTGGGAACTAGTGTAAGATGCCTTCAGGACAACCCCGCATGTCAGGAGACTGTGGAGGCTCCTCCGTCCCCGAGGGACTGCCTGTCACGGTCACAGTCCTTGTAAGAGTGGTCTCATCTGTGGAGCGTGTTTGCCTTCGACCCATGCAAAACTCAGAGGGAAATTCTACCCTGAATTTTATGTCCGTTCCAGGTGGAGCTGGAAAACAAAGCAAAGCGAAGCAAAACAAAATCAGGCCTTTCAGATACGTGAAATATTTAATAAATGCTGCAACAGGCATCCCAAAGAGAAGAAACATTTTGATAGAAAATGCCTGGAACCAATAAATGCAAATTGAGAAGGCAAACATGACCCCGGAAGCTTCTGGAAGGACAGAGAATGTGATGGACCCATCTGAGCCTTTCTGCATAGCCATTTAAAACCAGTGTGTAAAGCAGAGAGCAATTTCACAAGCGACAAGGCGGGGAAAAAAATCAGAAAAAGGGGAGGCAGGAGAGTGGGACATCATGCAGACGGTCCCCCTAGACGAGTGACACTGGTGGAGGGATGTGTGGGCCGAGCATGCTGTTGACGGTGGGCAGACAAGACAGACGGACACGGCTGCCCCAGACGCCCCTACGGAGGCGCAAGCCGGAGAGAAACGGCCTCTGTCTGCAGCAAAATGGCAGCGCTGAAAGGCTAAATCTATACAGTAAATGGGAAAACAACATCGGGGTGGGTCATACAGAAGAGTGCACGTTTTATTACTGAATTTAGGACAGAACTCATCAAAAATCTCTCGAGGGACCAGATTTCTTTGTCTTCACCATCACAAGCTGGAATGACAGGGGAAAAAGGGAAAACACTTCACGTACATAACATTGTCAGTGCTTTTCCTAAATATAAAAGCCTTAAATACACTTCTACGTACTGAGTAAGGAATACCTTCACTTCCCACCTTCCGTCTTTCTACACCTTCCTTAACTGCATGGTTGACACTGCTTTCCTCCCGACCGACTGTTAAAAATGAGAATTGTAAAACATTTTAAATGTCTCTGATATAAATGTCATTCACATGAACTTTACTAGTGTATTTTGGAGGTTCTATATAGGGTTACACAATTTTCTCAAAAGAAACCCAAATCATGGTTCCGACAGGTAAATATATAATTGAATTCCTCCACAAAATTCCAACCAAGTACATTCCATTAGCATTAGGGTCTCCTCTCCTGATTCTCCGGCAACACTGTCATTTACCTCACATGCATCCTGAGCCCACATTCGAAACATTTCAAAGAAATGCGGGATTATCTTGATATTTGGGGGAAATTCAATTGACCCATAGAAATCTACAGTAAGTCTTGAAATTGGGTCGTTAGTCTTCCAACTTTATTCTTTGTTCAGAGTTATTTTGGCTATTCTAGGTCCTTTGCATTTCCATATGAATTTCAGAATTAACTGGTCTATGTCTTTAAAAAAAAGAAAAGCGCCTGTTGGGATTCTGACTGGATTGCGTCAATTTTGGGGGAGAACTGACGTCTTAATAAGCATGGAGTCTTCCAACCCAGGAATGTGATCTGTAGAAATCTAAAGGTTATGGGTAGGGGGATAATTTTTGTAAGAATGTCAATTACACAGAAAACTCAGCCATACAGTCTAATTTCAAAAGTCATGAAAACAAACCAGCAAACTGAAAGAGTTCTCCAAGCAATGTCCTGTCTACACATGGTGTCTCAGAACTAATGAGTAGATGACTACAGAGGCTGCTTCCTTCATGACTCCTGCAGGGAAGGAGACACGCCCTCCTCCAAGGGCCGCTGGAAGATCGGCCACCACGGAGATACCAGAGCTGACTTTCAAAGGCAGTCTTACTCAAGATGAGAATGCTATTTTAATTTGCGTTCTTCATCTCCTACAGAGTAGGCCCTAAATCAGAAGCCATAGGTCCATAGATTATGTAATTATGTAATACGTTCATTACATTTTGGGCATAGTTTATTCTTTTCCTAGCTTTAATTATCAAGTCAAAGGATGTACCTACCAAAAAGAAAAATCCTCCAACCCTAAAAATATTTAATGTGTAAAGACTGGCTTGTAAGACATCAGTTTCCTTTTCTACGTTGTATGGCCTGAGTGACCTAAAGACTAATATGTGGTCACAAACCCACGGGCAGGCTTGCTGGTATCAGGGACCCTGATTTTGATTTCCTCTGACCGCCTTCAGTAACGAGGCCAGTGTTCACGTCTTTTAGCCCACCTGAAGCCAAAAAACCAAAATGGTAATCAACGAGGTGGCCTCAAATTCCTTTCCAAGTTTAAAAAAAAATTAAGAAGTAGGAAAATTAACACCCCAGAGAGAGAGGAAAAGATAAGGATTTTCATGTTTTTTATTCAATCTGTTCACTGCTAAGAATATTGCGAGGAAATTATGGAATCCAACTGGATGAAGTAAAAAACGAGTTACTGATGTTCTTGCACTGTATGTTTAGTGTTTGCGTCCACCTGCTTTTATCTTAACCTAAGGCCAAGAACTAGCCGGGCAGGAAGAGGCAAGGATGGGCCAGTGCAGGTGCTTTACTCTGGAAGCACCAAGAAAAAGGCATCTGGCCTGGCGCTGCCTGGTCGGAAAACGATGCCAGCCACATATGTAATTCCAGATTTTCTAGTAGCCACATTGAAAAAGTGAAAAGCAACTGATGAAATTTATTTTAACAATATTTTAAAAATTTAACCCAGTATATCCAAAATACTATCATTTCAACATGTTATCAGTAACAGAAAATTATGAGGGAGATGTTTCTAGGTCCTTTCCTCACACTAAGCCTGGGAGTTCCCGTGTGTGTTTTGGGCCGCAGCACAGCTCAGTGCAGACGGCCACATGTCACGTGTGCCTCAGGGCTGCCGTGTTGGGCAGTGCAGTCTGCATGGTCTAGAGCCTGTGCTCTTGGTAATGCCTGATCCTGTCTGATCAGGTGGGGAATACAATTTACTTGAGTTAAAAACAAGTAGGTTAAAAAAAAACCCTCTCTGTCTGAGCTCAGAATGACACTATCATCTAGAAACCATCTGCATTCAGTATGCAGTATAATTTTAGCCCAACTTGTTACTTTTCAGAATTGTAGTGCTGGATGTCTTTAGGAATTCTTAGCTCAAAGGGGATTAAAGTTTCAGAGTCAGAAAGGGCCATATCCCCAAATCCAGTTAGCACTTTATCAACTGCAAGGATTGAGAACAGGAGATACAATCAGAGACCTACAGCAACTGCGAGGCTCCTTATACGTGGGAACTCCACCCACTACCCTCTTTAAAGCCTAAATCGCAAAGGTTCCCCATTTAGTGACAGGGGCCTTTCTTTGGATCGGTGGTGATCTAAATATGCATCTCCACAAAGTGGAAACAAAACCACTTGAGTGTGGGTATTGCATGAGGGTCCTGACAGAGCCCTGACCCTGGCACAGGCCTGCGAGGCAGCGTGACCCTGCTGTTGACAGGATGAGGGCTCTGCCTGATGTCCTGGGGCCCGGGGGCCGGCAGTAACTGTGGAGAAGTAAGAGGGGCGCCTCTGGGCCAGAGCAGAAGTCGCAAGGGGGCAGAGGGAGCAGAGGGGGAAGACATCACCACAAACCTTTGAGTCTTTGCTCTCGTTAACATTTGACTGCAGTGAAGAATAGGGATTATTACTGTTAGAGTAAATGAAGAAACACATTTCAGGCACATACTTAATCCTTAAAAGCTGTTTCTACTAATCTGATCTAAGCTATGTGGATGAAAGGTTTCCTGTAAGATTACCACCATGGAATTTTTCACTTTAGCTTACACAGGAGGCACTGCTGTCTATCACATCACTAAAATCACAGGCACGTCTTAAGCAAGTCTCTAAGGAGCGCACCCAGCTTAGCTCTGTGCACTTTTACCTGGCGAGCCTCTTCGTTCACTGTCTTTCTCAGCATCTGCACATCTTCAAATAAAGGCCCATCTGTCTCCACTGCCACCGGAAGGCTCATGGTGCTCGCTTGACTACACACTGCGTACTGCAATGCAAAGCGCGGAGTCACTCTCGGTCAGGTCAGCGCTCAGGGCTCGGCTCCAGGGCTCCTGGCCCAGGCCAGCCCCCCGAGGCCCCTCCTGAAGGGAGCCCACGTGCCGGGAATTGCTCCGTGCGCGGCCTACACCTGCAGCGCCTGGGCCCCGGGCGTCGCGTCATTTCAGACTGTCCCAGCCCCTTGCTGGGCAACGCCCTGCCCTGGAGCCTCCGGCCTGCTGACTCTCCGTGAGCCTGGCTCTGATCACGGGACGCTTCCCGCGGAAACCTCCACCTCCAGCCCCCAACCTCTGCACACAGCCTTGCCCTCCTGTATCTGCCCCCTCGCTCCTGGTCACCTTCTCGGCCTTTTCCAGACTTGCCTAAACCCCATCGCCGCTCACACCCTTTTACTCACAGCCTCTCTGCTCTCCCCCCAAACGACACAACCCCAATCGGCCCCACAACTCGCACCTCACTCTGCAACCCCGTGGCCGGCCCTGCGGGAGGCCTGGTATGCCCACGTGTCAGTGGGGTCCCCTTGGCTCTGCTCCTGTTCCCCACAGGGCGCCCTGGGACTCCACTCTCTTTGGGGTCTGGGCCAAGTCAGGCTCTGCTGTGAGCAGGACGGGTTTCTGACTTTGTTTCCGTGAGTGGGACGTGGGGATGAGATCACTTCGGGGGTGGCTGTGACGGCGCGGGTGAGCTAAGGCACACGGAAGGCCCTGACTGTCCTCAGCATTTGGCGGCCACTCTCTGTGCGTCTGCCGTGAGCTGCGTGCTATTCCAAGCTCAGCCTGTAAAGTGTCTGCTATGATCCCACTTGGCTGATGGGAACGCTGAGGTACCTACGCTAACCGCGGGGCCCCAGGCCAGTGAAGGGGAAGCTGGGGTTCCGAGCCACAGCCTCGCACCCCTTCCCCAACGCCCTGTGCCCGGCTCGTGCCCTCCTGGCCACAGCGAGCCCCTCTGCCTGGGCTGGGGACCCGGCACCCACCCCTACGCCCCCGCCTGGCTCACCACCTCCCTCCTGCCAGGGGGGCGAGCGACCAGGAGGGCCGCTCAGCTCTCAGCAGCCCCTCCTCCCCCCAACCCCTCGGCTCACCCGCGCGGCTCTGGGCCTCGCCTCTCCGACGGGACGCCGGGCACCAGGCTGTGGGTGACCGCTCTGTGGCCACGCGGGGGCCACAGTCATCCCTGAAGCTGCCCCTCCCTGCCTGTGGTGCCGGCCGCCCCCCGCTCCTCTGTCACTGCTGGGAAGACAGTCTGTGCCCCTCCTCACGCCCCGAGGGTCTCGCTGACCCTCGCCTGCGCCCCCCGACCCCCCCACCGGCCCCCGTGGCCGCCTGGCCCAGCCTCTCCACCACCCTGGGAAACGCGCCGCTCCCTCGCGGGAGCCACACACTTGGCTCCGTTTCCTCCACCCGATGGGCACCCAGGCCCCCGCGGCGCCCTGTGCCTGCCGCCCCCGTCAGCCCCGTCCAGCAGCGGCATCTCCGCACGTTTCCCCAGGAGCCCCCGAGGGTCCGGAAGAGCTTCCTGAGCGCAAGCCTGCCGAGGCCACTGGCTCTGGATGACACTGTGACACCTGCACACTGTTTTGGGCATAAAATCCACGGGTCCTGCCCCCTCTCCAGCTTTGTCCGACACAGATCACACCCACCCTTCTCCATGAGTGACGCTCCGTCTATGAGCAGCTCGGTTTCCCAGTCGCCCCTTCCCCTGCCTTGAGCCCCCGGCTGGTTAAGCCCCTTAGGTGAGCCTCTAAGAGGCTGGCTCCACCTCCAGGGGGCCCAGCACTCTTGGGGGCTAAGGTCCTGGCGCCGTGGGGACGCCTCGCCGTGGCCACCCTACCCTCCAGCCTTCCTTTATGTGTCTCTCTAAAGGCGCGACCAGGCCTCTCGCCAGCATCGCCAGTACAACCCGCAGCGTGTGCTATCATCCGACCGCCCAGAACGGATTCTCTTTGCTTCCATCCTGGCTCCCCTCCTTGACACCTGGGGCCGTGTCTCACTTCTCATTTTTGTATCCTGGGAAAGCGCATTTGGGACACGCAGCTGGCACCCATCTGCCCAGAGAGGTGGTGACCTGTTGGGCGCAGGGAGCTGGGGTCTGCACGGTGCCTTGCCCCCTGGGGCTCAGCTGGGCGGGGCAGACAGAGCAGAGACACTGCAGTGCTCGGGCGGTGGTGCGGGGATTTTCGGCTTTGGCCACGCCAAGAGGACACCAGCACTCTACACGGACCCTGCCAGCGGCCGTGCCTACAGCAGTGCGGGCTCCGAGGCCCTGCTGGGGCTCAGGGCAAGGAAAAGTACGCACAAGGATGCTACAAAATGCCTATAGGAAATCGATGTCACTAGCTGGCTCGGGGGCAGAGGATTCTCACTAGGAATAAAAACCTTCCCGAGGCTGAAGTTCCTGACAGGTGAAATAAGGAAGGCACGTTTCCCCAGAGAGGCTCATCTCCCAAAGGAAAGGCAGGCAACCAGACTCTGTGCCCTGGGTCTCCTATGGCGTCATCTTGTCATTGCAAAGGGGCAGAAACACTGAGCCAGAGCCACACTTAAAATTCACAGAAGTGCCTTGTCTTCATTTCACATGATCCCCACAAAAGGGAGACAGGAGTAAAACTGTTATATGGCCTCTTTTGGTGGACTAGGAAAAGCATATTTATGTTAGAAATCTTCACTATGTTAGAAATCTTCACTATTAAAATCTTCACTTGAAAAAAATTAAATCATATTAAACATTAAATTAAAAAATTAAATCACATTTTTAAATCACATTAAAAAATGAAAACGCCACCACTGCTAAAACAGACACAACCCAAACCCTGAAGGACCAAAGCTTTCCAAATCCCAACCAGCCTAAACGGGGACCTGCTTTCACATCTCCAAGCAGATGAAAGACTTAGCCTGTGAAAACACAAGGGTCAGCATCAGGAAGACTTCTAGGTACACGCCAGTGAGCAGAGTGAGGGACTGGGAACCCACCTAAAATAAGGAAGCTATTAAGTCATTTCTCAAAACGGCAGATTTGAGATGGGGAATCGGGCTTCAAAAACCCACCTACATGTTTTCGTTACGGAAGTGGCACGCAAGCTGTATTACCCACAGCACTATTTACTTTTTGCTGCTGTTGTAAATGGCAAGCAACGACTACAATTTAGAAAGGACTCGAGAGAGAGTGAACAGCGGGTACCAAGGCCCTCATTTCCAGCTTTGAGATATTAGCCCACGAAGACTTTCCGTTTCAGACACTGCTCGGTGGACTGGAGCATGCGGACAGGACCTGCTGGGGTGTGGTCACAGGCGGTTTTCACACGCAGACGCGAGCAGGATGGCGCTCAGGTCAGAGTGCCACAGCACAACGTAGGGGTGAGCGCAGGCAAAGCCCACCGCGCTCAGGCTGTTGCCCGAGACATTTTAAAACAGAGCAGCCAAAGGAATAAAAATGTGATGTAAGAACACTTAGGAAAAGTTCAGAAAAAGAGAAATGAGGACAATATATATTTTAGAAGGAACGTCTGTTACAGCACAGCAGTGAAACCAGGCCACCTTTGCTAATAGAATCACAGCCAGCTCTTCGTTTGTAATATAAGGCTTTATGTGATTTTCTGAGATTATTCCTATTTTCCAGGTAAAATAAATAAAATCAGACCCTCTGATCTGTAGAGTTTACATGTTTTTCAAGGGTGTTGATCTCAAGGGTGTGTGTGACGGAGTCCTTGACGACCCTGATTGGGATCCATCTGCCCTCGGCATGGGGCTGTCTGGACAAAGCAAGACGGCCTGGGCCCCGTCAGGCAGGGTCCATCCACCCACACTGCCCCAGACGTATGCTTTTACTGTGTCTTACAACAAACGTCAGTCAGTATTTTAACCTCACGTTCAACATAAATTCTATTCTTAAAAGTACATACCCAGGGGCTTCCCTGGTGGCGCAGTGGTTGAGAGTCCGCCTGCCGATGCAAGGGGACACGGGTTCGTGCCCCGTTCCGGGAAGATCCCACATGCCGCGGAGCGGCTAGGCCCGTGAGCCGTGGCCGCTGAGCCTGTGCGTCCGGAGCCTGCGTGTCCGGAGCCTGTGCTCCGCAACCGGAGAGGCCACAACAGGAAGAGGCCCGCGTGCCGCAAAAAAAAAAAAAAAAAGTACATACCCATAGCTATCTACCTAAATTAGCTACTACACAGTTTCACATGCTATTTTCACATAAAATAGCATTTCTGTGTAAGAGCATGGAATAAAAGTCGTTAGAAAAACGCCAGTTACTTGTTTCAGGTGGCATCAAGGACATACGCTTAAGGATGTCATTCAATTTTCCTATGGTTTGTGTCTTGATTATAGTTTTATCAGAGGGAATACAAGTCAGTATGTTGTTATATAGATAAAGTACATACTTTTAACTCTGTATTCATGTATCACTTTTTATTAAACATCAGAGAGACTGAAAACCCACATAGCAACTGAGATAATAATGATTTATGCATACCTCTCACCAAAGAAAATAAATAGATAGCTTGTAATCTGGTTCACCGCATTGAACCTTTCAGGATTTTAGGGGTAGCCGAGCAGTTTTCCTCAGAAAGTAAAATATTTTCTGGGGAGCTAAGGACAGCCTGAGAATTCTTAGCGTGGCAAATGATTTTCAGTGATAATCGGACAGGCACATAGCATCAGAAAGAACGTCTGTCGGGACAGGGCTCCAACCCCCAGCCCCCGGGGGTCAGCCCGAGGTAATGCATCGGGGGACACTGCTTCAGTGCTGGCAGTTCCAGAAGACACGTCATTGGCGCCCACCTGCCAGGGCGTGCTGGGATGGGAGAAAGGATTAGCGGCTAAGATGACGGAAGTCGGTCAACTTTTAACAAGAAAGGCTCAGCCTGCAGAAACCTCATTTTAGGAAAGAGGACATTGACTTCATACTTAATCTATTTCAAATCTAATTTCTTTTCCTTTAGAATTAATTTGATATTAAAAAGAAAGGAAAATATTGTTTGAACTACAGCATCTATGACATTTGAGAAAGCAAATTACAATCCTGGCCCAAAACAGAGCTTGTATCCTGACTTTCTTTTTACCACAGTATATTCATAAGGTTCATATGCTATTTAAAAAGCATAATAAAAAAAATGTCAATTCTGTGGTAAAAACCTTTGTGGGGCAAAATAAGTACTTGTACAAAGTTGAAAAGTATTTTTATTGCAGATATTTTCATATACAGTGTTAGTGAAATTGACTTCCCTCCCCTCTCACGATGAATCCACACTCCTATCTCATAAAAACATTCAAGTTACACCCTGGACGTTTTCATGTTACTCTCTTTTTTAGTACCTGGGGGTTTGCTTTGGCTAGGTTTTCTATTTTAACCCATGCTTCTTCTCGTTCTTTCATTTTTAGCTTCTCTCTGAAAAATAGTAAAATGTCATTGGTGTTAGAGAAAAGAATCAAATTCAAGAGAGAAAACGTTAAGGGGGAACGTGGCCAGCAACACAACACCTATTCCCCTTTGTCACTGTCTGGTATTATTCCACGTACGTCACAGTGGTGACCACAAGGTACATAATGGGAAAAACAAAGAAACTGGGCTGAGAGGAAAAGTGTTAAAAATATAAATACACCAAAATTTTAACATGTCTAAGAATTTAAGCTCTTAGAAACGCTTGCACAAGCACATCTATGTCTCCTTCCCTCCCCTTGTTTTGTCGCTTCATCACAGGACATGTATGATTTTGGTGAGAAGCTTACATACCCATGAAAAGTGAGACCACACCTTAGTGTGAAGGAACCAGGTGAAGACGTCCTTACAGAGGCACAGCCTGTAGATCCACACCAACAAGGCACATGACCTTCAGTACATTACTTATCATGGGACCAACTCTTTTTTTTTTTAATCTAGAAAATGTGCTACATCATCTTTAAGGTCCCTTTCAGAAATGTGATGTTCCATGAAAGAGGATGTGCCGTTAGAAAAGCCCTGATGTTCACATATTTCACACCTGAACACTGCGTTCAGCTGAGGCAGGAATGGGCCGGGCAGCCTGTAGGTTTAAAGAGCCCACAGCCGGGGCTTCCCTGGTGGCGCAGTGCTTGAGAGTCCGCCTGCCGATGCAGGAGACGCGGGTTCGTGCCCCGTTTTGGGAAGATCCCACATGCCGCGGAGCGGCTGGGCCCGTGAGCCATGGCCACTGAGCCTGCGCTCCGCAAATGGGAGAGGCCACAACAGTGAGAGGCCCGCATAACGCAAGGAAAAAAAAAAAAAAAAAAAAGAGCCCACAGCCGGTTCCTTGTGCCCCTTCCTGCTTCATTTGTCATTGTCCCTCACACATTATGTCTTACTCATTTGTATTTTGCTGTCTTTCTCTTTCCACACCACCCAGAATGTAAACTCCGTAAGGGCAAGGGTCTTTGTTTGTTTTATTCACTGCTGTGTTGCCAGAACCCATAACAGGGCCTTGCACATAGGTAAACACATACTGTCTAAGGAAAGAACATGGCACTTCGTTATATATGTACTGTAATTGCAATTACATTCATTCAAAGTCTATCTACCTTGGCTTCAAGTGACAAAGAATCAGATCTGCTCACAGTCCACACCTGACTCTGAGGATGTGATTTTGATAATTAATGAATCATACTGTTACGAGCATAGCCTAGGGACAGAGTCATCTAGCCCAGCGGTCCCCAACATTTTTGGCACCAGGGACCGGATTCGTGGAAGACAATTTTCCCACGGACTTGGGGGTTGGGGAGGGGATGCTTCAGCTGGGAATGTGAGCAATGGGGAGCGGTGGGGAGCGATGGGGAGCGGCGGGGAGCAGTGGGGAGCGGTGGGGAGCGATGGGGAGCGATGGGGAGTGGCAGAGGAAGCTCCTCTCGCCCGCTGCTCACCTCCCGCTGTGCGGCCTGGTTCCTAACCGGGGTTGGGGACCCCTGATCTAGCCTGTCCCCGGAAAGATGTGGGTTCTGAAGTCCTCACAGCATGAGAGCAGGGCCCTGATTTTGTGAGGGACTCTGGCACTAGATTCCAGAGAACGCCCGAATTTATGGAGATCAACAAATTAGAATAAAGCTACGCTGGATGAAGATTCCTGCTCTTTCATATAAACCTTACAGGATACAGTTCAAATTCCTGCCTGACAAACATGAAAAATTACTACACATTATTGCCTTTAGGTGTCCCCTGAGAAGAGCAAAGACCCTGAAAGTTAAATTCGTGACTATACATGCACTTTTTGCAATGATTAAACTAGTAGTGTAATGGAGAGAACAGCTAACATTTTTTTTTTTTTTTTTTTTCTCTGCGCTGTGTGGCTTGCAGGGTCTTAGTTCTCCGAACAGGGATTGAACCTGGGGCCACCGCACTGAAAGTGCGGAGTCCTAACCACTGGACTGCCATGGAATTCCCAGAGAATAGCTAACTTTAAACATGTTTTCTTTGAAAATAAGTTATCATAACAAAGTTTTAATTTGCTTTTCAAGTACAAAAGGGCTGATTTTGCTTTAAAGTGAAGAATAACTTTTTAGGACAAACTAATGGGAGAGGTTTGTTCAGGATTAAGAAAAAAAAAATCCTTGAAGGAATAACTTTTGAAAGGAGCAACTTACTTCAGTTTCTCTGCTTTAAACTGCTGGGTGCAGTCATCAAATAGTTTTTGGTTCATCTCCATGAAGAGTTTCAGCGCGTTGTATATCAAGCCGTGTATTGTCCTGTGATGAAAGCTGCGTGTTGAAACTCAGAATGCTTCACCTTTTTTGATCTGTCTCCCTTCCCTCCTCTACCACAGACTATTTCCTCTCCCAGCTTATCAGCCCATCTCAATGGCCCACATTTCACAAGTACCAGTTCAGTAGAGATGATGACATGGATGACATGGCATCCATACTGACTGCTAAGGTCTCGGGAGATGACCACTGAGTAAATCAGTGTGTTCATCCTCAGCAAGTGAGAGAACAAAGGAGAGAAGCAGGGGCAGATGTCAAGATTCCTAGCGGTGTTTAGGTTACCTGCTCTTCTCTCTGGCTCCCCAGGGTGAGTGCCAGCAGGGCTCTGGGGCCCCCGAGTGTGGGGTGGCCACTGTGCCCCTGCAGGGACTGAGCCCTGAGGTTGTGACAATCTTTAACTGTTCCGGAGGGAACTTAAGAGGCGGCCCGGAAGATGCTGCTCCCGACCCCACCCGGGATGAGATGGGGGGTGGGGAGTGAGGCAATACGCCCTACGTGGGCTCGGCACGGGGATAAGGACGTGAACGGAAGGCCAAGATACAGCCCACACTTCTGCTCGATTACAGCCCACGAAGAAGTCAGCATCTTGTTTTTTAACTGATAGTCAGACTTGGATTCAATCATAATTGCAGTATCAGCAAAATATGCAAAATGAAAGAATGGCCACAGATCTGACGGCAGCCAGCTCTCTCTTACTTGTTCCAGTGGGTCTTTGAGTTGCGGTACAAGGATGGAAACATGATGGGCAGAATCTTTGCTGCATTGTCACTGATGAGACTCATGATGTACTCGTTATTCCAGTAATACAGCGCTCGCTCTGCCACCTGAAAGACGGAGGGCATGACTGTTGTTTTTGATGATTAAAGTGTTCTATTACATATGTAAATAGCAAAATGAATTATATTGGATTGGAAAATTATTATTTCTACAAATTAAAATACTCTATAGACTGTAATCCTGAAGAGCCTTCAACAGAGAGGCAGATGATTTCCTGTCTGTCAAGATCACTGTCACTCATTTTTTCATGAGTTCAATGAACATTTCTGCTAGACATGGGCTAGATGCCGAGGAGACAAGTCAAACGAGTTCATTTTACCTATCCGTCAGCCATCCACCACCCATCTATTACGCGTCTACACCACGGGCAGTGCCGTCTGGCACTGAGGACTCTGCAGTGAACCATGTGAGGCAGAAATCCTTGCTTTCGTGGAGCTTGCGTTCTATGGGGGTAAACAAACGATGGGCGAATTGTCTGACTTACTAGAAGTGTTAAGTCGTGTGGCGAACAGCAGCAGGGGAGGGCAGGGAGTGCTGGCGTGTGTGCGGAAACGCGGCTTCCGCTTAAAATGGGTGGTGGTGGAGCCTGTCCCTGCAGAGGCACTTGAGGGAGGGGATGTGAGATGACAGCAGGGAGGGCAGCAAGGTAACACGGGAGGGGCGGAGGCCACCGAGGCGGCCAGTTCTGAAACCGCCGGCAACGCAGACATGGATGTCAGCTGTGCTGACACATCTCCCCTCTCCCGCTGGGCTGCCGACTCCCTGGTGACTGTGAGGTTTTGCTCCTTTTGTGCCTAGATTTCTACCTTGTTCACGATGAGTTCACGACAAATACCGTCTCAACGATACAAAAAGATGGGGTCCCCAATATGTTAAAAGGAGGCAGACAGGCTGGAAAAGCCACTGGGGATGATGACCTTTGAAAGGGGCTTGGAAGGCGTGAGGAGGAAATCAGGAAAAGGGGGAAGTGGCATGACCGAGGCACCTCTCACACAGGAGTGTGGAAGGTACAAAAATCAGAACCATTACTGTTTTTTAAAGGGTAAAGGGACACAAACTCATATATGTCAGAAATGAAGGGCTCATGGAGGGAGGGAACGCAAAGCTAAACAGTTTTATATTCTCCATGAGCATCGATCACTGAAGTTGTGGCGAATAAGGTTGTGTGCGTTTGGGAACCCAGTGAACATAGAGCCAGAGGTCGTTTACAGAGAAGCTGTCTTTAATTACTCTTATTGAGAAACACGTTTTCAGTGACCAGGGGGGACGAGGTGCTAGAGTGTATTTTGTAGAGCTAAAGTCTCAGGATCTTACTCTGAAATACACTGAAGCAAAAGCTTGAATATTACCTTCAAATTACCCGAGAAGCAAAACATGACCAGCTACGCACTGCGACCTACCAGCTCCAAAGGGAAGTGACACGAGCCCACCGTCTCCGGGCCGCATACCTGAAAGTGGGGACTGGAGACACACTTGGCTAACTGCCGGAAGAGAGGCTCCATGATCTTCACAAACTCTGATGGTTCAATGACGTCTAGAATCTCTTCTAGTTCATTTAGGAACATGACTTCTTTTGGGCTGTGAGTCTTTGGCCAGTACTTGAGAAGTGCCATCACCACCTACAGAAGAGACAACACACAGTGTGACGCCCTCTGTTTCTTCAGTAAGGTGTCCCCTCTGCAAAGCCACAAGATGAGGTGGTGCTTTTTTCCTTGTAGAAGGAACAGTGATTGATTCAGTAAATCAGAATGGAGGTTTTTTATAATTAGAGAGGTAGGTCTAATTTTATATACTTCAGAATCACAGTTTTAATTTATGTGAACCACTCTGATTAACTACCATCTCAGTGTCAGATCCTTAAAAAAAAAAAAAAAAAAAGAGGCAGGTAGGAGAGTTCAGAGAGAACAAGACCAGTGGAGAAACACAGAGCATGTGAATTCATATATATATCTTAGTGTGGAGACATATACACAGAGGCACAATTGGTTTCTCTCTCAAATTAACTGACTGTTCACATACATTTGTACACAAACATACATACATAGTGTGTATACACAGTGTTTTCAGTCACGCTAAAACACATCGGAAAGAGAGATGTCAAGCACTGATGTTAGCAAGCCCTCTGTGTGTGGCCACGGGCTGGTGCCCACCCCTCGGTGCCCCACAGCCCTCAACAAAGACTGGGGGCAGGAAGACCCTCGCCCTGGGACTGCTGAGAAGACTGGCCGCAGCGAGTGGGTGGCAGCCTGGCCTTGGCTGGGGCCCCACCCAGAGCAGGCCTGTGAAGCCGCTCCATGCGAGGCACGTCCAGTCGGGCGGCAGCAGCCTCCCGGTTGGTGAGTGTTGGGCACTGTGTTCCCTGCCCATCAGACAGGCAGTTTCTGCCGGGCAACCTTTCTGTTATCGTGTTCGTGCAGTTCCCAAATTTCCTACCAGTAAAGGTTCTTCACCCAAAATATCAGATTTGGAATGCAGATTAACAATACCCCTAAGAGTTTAGCTACCTAATAATACCCCTAAGAATTTAGCTACCTAAAATAGTACAGTGAACCAAAACACTTATGTACGTATATGTAAAGCACATATACATACTTGCACACCTAACTGTACAACTGCAACCTGTTACTTAAAGCAGCTGTTTAGCCTTATCACAGCGATTTCTGGACCCGTCATCCCGGCCCCCGGCCTCAGGACTGCTGTGAAAATCACTGCAAATGCTCATGCTTTCAGATTGGCTGGTGGTTTCCATTCACTAGTCATTTCTGGCTCTGCAGATCATGCCAACTGTGCTCACAGGCCAGCCTGTGAGTCCTCACCGCAGTTAAAAACAAGGGGCTTTTCAACAACATTCATTTAGGACAATTCTATTTTATGCTTTTGACCTTCAGGCTCCTGGATAATCTTTTATATTTTTACACTTTATAAAACTCCAAAATTTACTTTAAAAGTGCTCCTAGTTTTGAAGTCTGACGTAAAAATTTATGACACAATTGTCTTTAAAGAGAGATTATTGGACTTCCCTGGTGGCGCAGTGGTTAAGAATCCGCCTGCCAAAGCAGGGGACATGGGTTCAAGCCCCAGTCTGGGAAGATCCCACATGCCGCGGAGCAACTAAGCCCGTGTGCCACAGCTACTGAGCCTGCGCGCCACAACTACTGAGCCCGCGTGCTGCAACTACTGAAGTCCACGCGCCTAGAGCCTGTGCTCTGCAACAAGAGAAGCCACCGCCATGAGAAGCCTGCGCACTGCAACGAAGAGTAGCCACCGCTCAGCGCGACTAGAGAAAGCCCATGAGCAGCAACGAAGACCCAACGCAGCCAAAAAATAAATAAATTAATTAATTAAAAAAAAATAGAGATTATTTTAAAAAATGCATCACTTAATGATTTTCCTACTTTTTGCGCAAAACCATTTAACAGATGTTTGCGTACCTATTATACTCTGTGTATTGGCATCACTTTTAAGAACACAGCAGACGCAAATCACTTCACAAATCCACCATTCCTTGTCATTTGGCAAATGGAATTTTATTAGGAGAAATACATTAAGCTGTGAACTACAGGACACAACTGATTTAGCTGTTCGATGTCTCTGGAAAAGGTATTATTTCTGGAATCAGAGGTATATGCTGGGCTTACTTTTCACACTATTTGGAATGACCTATGACCAATACCCAACGTTTCAGCCGCTTCCGAGGGTGCCTGCGTTTTGCAGAGCGGGAGTCTGCTCGGGGAATGCTACTCCGAGCCAACAATGGCTGCTTGCTGCTGGGCGCACTTCAGGATTGAGCTTTCCTGGGGAAACCCAATGGGCGGCCTGCTCCCGGGGCGTGGGGGAGGGGGTGGCTAGGGAAGGCAGGCGAGCCTGGAGTCCCAGGGAGCCCCTCTCCTGTCCTGGAACACCAGGGAAAAGGCCACAGAGTAAAACTCAATCAGCCTCAAGAGACAGGTGGGTGGAAAAGTGTTCGACGTGCCCAGAAAGCTCTTGGGCACTGTACAAAGTTTACAAATAAAAATATTAGTTACAGATTACAGACAGGAGCAACAAACGTCTTTTAAACGGATCAGACTTTAAAAATTCCTGAGCTTGGACACACACAGACTTCGGGGTGCCACAGGTGCAGGACCATGAGACGCACACGTATGCCGACTGCCCTTCCCAGCACCTTCACGAGAGTTTACACCTTCATCTAATTACCTACATGCTTTCCATGCTGAAGTAAGACAAAATGGGCTTTGTATTGTCATAATACGTGAAATTTCAAAGGAAGGAATTTACTGAGGCGAGGCTCTGAACGTTTTTAATGTGCAGCAAATTCATCTGCTTTCTGTAATCCCGAGTGCACTTATGTTATCTCTGCTGCAGGAGATTAAGAGATGAAGTGGTTCTGGGTGGAAATACTGGGGGCTGGGCGTAGGGGGCTTGGGGTAGCTTTGTGCTCGCGCCGAGTCAGAGTTTTCTATCTACCACTTAAGATGGAAGGACCCCACCGAAGCCAGCACATCATCTCCTGCCTTCTTGCAGCCAACCGCAGTTAAAAGCCCTCACTCCTGCAAAGCTGTATTAGCGTTATTAGTGGGAATTTATAAACTTGATCAGCTTTCACATTACTTTCAGGTGGAAGACAGAAGAGGGTGGGATGCGCACGCTAAGTCTTGCTGGAGCAGGATTAGGACCAGGTTCTGACAGACGGGGCCGGGGGACCGGGGCCTGCAGGGAGTGGGCTCGGTGCGGGGGGCACCCTTAGGCCGTGAGAAATGTGGGGTAACGTTCGGTGAATTCTTTAGCCACTAGAGAGTATGAGAAATACGCACAGAGAAAAATCATCGCAGAAAACTGCATACTCTTTCTCTCCTTATTTTTGAAGTAGGAAAAGGGCAGGGTATATGTTAGGATTTCTTCACATGGTACTTTAGTTTGGAGAAGACCATCAAATACAGATAGGAATAAGGATGTGTCACCACTGAAGAAAAATATTAAAGAGGGCTTTTAAAATTATCAGTGCCATCTCATTTTTCTTTCC